TTGTGGGATCTGGCCCTGGGCTACGTCCCCGTGGCTCGGAGTGTGGTAAATTGTTACTCCCGTATGTGTTCTGTGTATCAACGTCTGGGTGTTTCACTGGTGCATTTAGTGCGGATTCTTTCTCTCTCACGAGGGCGTGCAGACGCTCTACCTGCACCATTAAGGACAGTTTCTCTTGTCTCTCCCTTTCAAATTTTTCCTCATTCCATAATCTTTCTCTGTCTGTCTGTGCGAGGAGATACGAGTCTACCCTCGCTATTTCTGCAATTTTTACGTCACGTTTGGCTTTGCCACATTTCATCACATCCTTAAGTAGTTTCCTTCTATGGGCCTTAACATCTTCTGTATGGCTCCCCTCCCATATATCTCTCTGCTCCGTCTGCTGGCTAGCAGTCCGTCCAGTACGTTTTAACACAAATTCCCGATATTGTTTTTCCATAGATTCCATCTCCTCCTCAGAGGTCCACTCTGTATCAGTGTTATGCGTTGGTGTGTCAAACTCAGAATGTTGTGGATCCTGTGCCATCTCTATTATGTAGTGTGGTTAATAGACTTAAGAGTGTATCTTAATTCTAACATCTCATGTGCGTCGTGAGTTACTCTAGAATTCCCCTTCAGAGCACATATAAACAATTGTATCACAGGATGCGTCAGTTCAACTCGAGCAAATAATCTCAGCCCAGCTGTCTTTGTTATACTCTGCTACTCTGGTATTTCCCTTCAGAGCGCGTTTTGTTTGTATACCCCCGTTTACAATCACAAGGCAACGTTAGTTCACAACACTTTGATTAACACATCAGTGATTCGTTCCTGAATTCATGCATAAACTGTCTGCGAGAGATCCCGGAAGACGAGCCCCCATTATGTTGTATATGTTGGGTATGAAAATTTGTTATGTTGTATGCGTGCGTGGGTGAAATTATTATGTTGTATATGTGGGTTATGAATATTCAGTGGAAATAATAATAATTAATGAAATTTGGCCAAATGTGTAATTATCCGGAAATATGTTAATTTATGTAATTACGCACATTTTAATTATGCCAATTCGAGAGGTAATCGTATTAATTATGCGAGTGGGTGTAATTATGATAACGCAAGTCGTTATGATAACCAGACCCCGGTTCACCCCGTTATCGCTTTAACATTTACTGAGTATGTATTAGTGTGTTTATTAAGGTCACCAAGTTCAAATCTCAACGCAGAAGCAGATCTTATGCATAGATTTCAGGAAAGAATCACACAACCACTTCTGTATTGATCAATTTATTACTAATTCAACCTTAACTATGATATAGTATGCGAACTCTCAATCCCGGAACGTCAATACGGCATCAATACAGTATCATCAACGATTGTCGGATTTCACTTCGACAACTGCACATGGATCCCGCATAACGCGATGGTTGTTAGTGAGAGAGAGAGTCGTTAAAACGTGCAAATACTATGCTAAGAAAACCTTAACGTTAATAAATGATTATACTCAATATTGTTCACGCAGTACCGCACTCCTTATTGATCATACGCAACCCTTATCACGTTGTTAACACCTTGGGTCACGGAACAGTTGAATATTCTGTAGAGGATGCGAGTACGTGCGGCGATTATGACTGAAAGATACTTGAAAGATTATACGGCGATAAAAAAAAACACAATCAAAACAGTTACTATTCTTAAAGGCACCAATCTCAACAGATACATCGGCAGGTTATCTGACAGCAGAACGGCTCGGAGTAAGGGCCTGCGACGGTGCTCCTTTTCCGAAGATCGTTATCTTATACCAAGTTTACTAATTGGGGACCAGATCACCTGATAAGGATCCGGTGGCCACCACTCCCCACGTGAGCGTGGCTCGGCGGAAGGAGGTGCCAAGAATCAGTTCGTATTGATGGATCTGTTGGGAATTTATGCGATTAAGAGTACAGCCCACTAAATATTAAAGATAAAAATTAAGAATACTCTTATACGACGGATGCCACCACTCGGTCTCGTTGTGATGCCTTCCCAGCCACGGATGACTTATGGGTTCGAGTGTGTTTGAGTGGTAAGAGTTGTCTTGAATAGTCAGTGTTCGGAGTCGATTCTTTATGTCAAACAGACGCCTGGTGGTCGTGTGGTGAGGGGGCGGTGCGCGTCATACGTATCAGGCGCTCTCCTGTCACCGTGGTGAATTGGCTCGGATGGCTGTTGATACGCTGTCGCAGTTCGGAACCCGGTCGGTAGGTGGCGCCCACAACTCGCTCGTAGCGTGCAGCGTTGGATCGTCGCCAAGTCGCGACGCTCACCACCGGCGGCAGCGGAGATCTCCGGCGGCAGCAGAGATTGACGAGCTGAAGATGAGTCGAGCCGACCCGCTGGTCGCAGCTCGCTCCTGAGTCGACCCTCCCGGTCGAGCTCGCTCCTGGGTCGACCCGCTGGTCGCCCTCGCTCCTGAGTCGACTCTCTGGTCGCACTCCTGAGTGGACCCGCTCTGGTCGCACTCGTTCCTGAGTCGACCCTCCCGGTCGAGCTTCTGAGTGGACCCTCCCGTCGCACTCCTGCTGAGTCGACCCTCCCGGTCGAGCTTCTGAGTGGACCCTCCCGTCGCACTCCTGCTGAGTCGACCCTCCCGGTCGAGCTTCTGAGTGGACCCTCCCGTCGCACTGGTTTCCAATGTTCAGGATCCGTTCCTTTATGCTGAAAAATCCCCCTGGATCCCGCCCACAAGGCGGGGCTTCCGATTTTTGCTGTGTCAGGATCTGTCCGTAGGCAGGTGTGTCCATGTGTGTGTCCGTATGTCCTTGTGTGCATCACTGACGGTATATTCCGTTGTCAACTCCCTCCATAAAACCCACGAGCAAACAACCAGATGTTACAAATTGTCTCGAAGTCGTCTCTCTGTCTGGGTGCAATTTATCTCTTGTCTGGCCTTCTTCATGAACCCAAAACACAGACGTTACAAATCGTCTCATAGGCGTCTTTGTGATTTTGCACAACCTGGGGGGAGGGGCAACACTCTCTCCGACCCGGCGCACAAAGAAATGGTTAAAAGTTTTAAGTTAACATTTGTCCCTTACTATTTCACAGTTATGATTCTGTATGTAACCTAAGGTCTGTCGTTTCCCATCGTGGTTCCCGACCCAAGTGTAGGTGTTTCCCCGAGCGTACACACACTCCTATCCCGCGCTGCGGGGATACAAAGACGGCCGGGATCTCCCTTTCTCTCCGACCCTGGGTTTAACATTGTTTTTTTTTTTATTATGTATTTATATTCGACCTGGTGGTGATTCATCCCGTTATCCTGGCTTTTCCATAAGTTTAACTTTTGTCTTTCATGCATATACTTATTACTATTAATTTATTTCCGATATCTTAGGTTAAGGGGTAAGTTTCTTGATCCTAGGAATTCGTATTCCTTGGTGCCTGGATGGTTATATAAGCGGAATATAGTTTACGGTGAATAGCGTTAACATTGATGTTATGTGCGATATTATGTATTGTGATGTCTTTAACTTAACTTGTTTGTCAGGGCTTTACTGACACGAAGTTGCATTCCATAGCCCGCAGTCCTTGCCCCACCCTATCTCTGCTCGCCGTTGTTGTTGCCTGCCGTTAATTCAAGGCCTCATTAATTTCCGTCACCCCTGAGTAGGTGAGGGCGGTTGAACCTTGGAGTCAGTTCTGGTTTTTGTCTGCCTGCTTCTTCTTGTGTCCCCTGACCCCGGGAGTTATTATTCTACTTTATGGCCTGTCGAAGCCCCACTCGCTGTTGCTGGGCTGGTGTTGTTCCCGGCTTTTTGCTTACGTTTGCAGTTCGCCGTGCTCTTGATTTCCTTCCCTCTTCAACCTTATATTGACTATTCGCTCCTGTCTGGGTGCGATTCAATTTTGACTTAGGAAGGTTCTGATTGTCATATGCTTCGGGTCGAATTGTATAGAAAGTATTGAAGTATGGAAATAACATTTCATATTGACTTAATGATGGTGATGGTTCAGTAGGCGTAACTTGTGACCTGGTTTAATTGGAGTGGGTGTGAATATCAATAACTTTAGCCTACTCTGTTGTTAAATTCCGACTTTAACGTTACTTTAATAGCAATACAGAATAATTGAGCTTTTTGTCTTAACTAGGCGAATGCGAACTTCTGGTGACCCCCGCAGCCGTGTTGTTCAGCTGGGTCTTGTGCCTTGAGAGATATACAACCCTCTTTTAAATCACCTCTCCCCCTGCCAACCTTCTGCTCTGGGAGTGTTTATTCTTGATTCCAGGTCCAAGGCCCCCTCACATCCAGACGCGCAGGGTTGTTTACATCAGCTCCCCCCCTGTGCACGTGTTCTAACTAGCTCGGAATTCCTGAACACACAATCAGTGATGATTCCTGGCTTTCTGTGGTTGTGATTTAGACAAAGGCGCCTCTGTTTCCTTCCATTGCCTTTGAGTCGACACTGCCCTATTATTTGCCCATGTGCTGAGGTCATAGAATTCGTTTTGACTTCAGTAATATTAACATTCAGTATTGGATTAGCAAATGGGCAATGGTTCATTGATGTAGCTCGCAGCCTGGTCTCCAGTTTGAGCGAGCGCGAGGATCGATAATTTAGCCTACTCTGTTGTTGAATTTCGAATTTTGACGTTACTTTAAAACCATGCAGGATGATTGGGCTTTTGCCTTAACTATGTCTGGCTGACACTCCCACTGTCTCTGCCGCCTGCACGGGTGACATGTGCCCGTTCATCAGGCCTTATCTTCCCTTGAAGCAACGTTGTAAATTCTGCCATCCTAACCCTCCTCCGGTTCATTACTTAACAACACCTGGTGTTTTGCAGTTTGCTGCGCTTGGTGTGTTTCACTCATTAAAAAAAAAAGTAAAAAGATAATATATAAAAATCATCAAATATTATTAATCTCAATTATGGAAGAAGGGTTAGTATACAACAACACTTGCCTACATACGATGCAAAAGAAGTTCAACATACATACATAACCACCCCGCAGAGACACGCATGCACGCACACGCACCCTTCGACAGCCCCAACTTCTGGCCCACACTGCGGGCGATCTTCGAGGTGGTGGCGTCACTGTAGAGGTAGACCTCATCCACCCCATTCCAGTCCACGTGGCTACGGTTCAACTGCAGGCTGTGGATGACTGCACACGCACAAACAGAAGAACAACAACATCGGCCGATGATATTACGGACTTGGAAAAAATCCCTTGTGCCCAGGCTAGCTGCAAACAAAGAACCCGGTTTAATCCCACGCACCTCCGACTGACATCGACTCACCTCCTCTAGAGCTCTTGCCGCGACAGATCCAAGGGGTGAGGAGGAGGGGATGTGATGGAGGCATTCGACCCCATACCCCCCTCCCACTTGAGACCCTGGAAATTGGTGCATTATTGATATTCACCAGGGAAAATATATACGAAGATTTGTTTGCATTTTTTAAAATCACCCTATTTAAGAAGCTTGAAATTTCGGGACTGCCCCATCCCCCTCCTCCCCCTTTCCTGGGAAGTTTCTAGAGCTGCCTCTGAGCCCGTGCCGCCCCCATTTAGCCCCCTCTATCTGGACAAACAGCAGCTGCGTAGGGAGGTGGTTGGGCATGCGGGGCTACATGACCCAGCCAAAGCACAGAAACAAAGAGACAAAGATGCCCGGTACCGCCTACAATGGCTCTTGGGAACCAATGTTGTTAGAAAGCACCTATTAAGGCTGGTCCGTCAAACAAGGTGGGTTGTGTTGCGGATCATTAATGATGTTCTCATGCTCGGTTGGATTGTGGTATCACAGGAGTGTGAGGGTTGGAAATGTTGTGGAGAGGCCTTCATCCAGAATTGGATCGAACAAGACAATACAATACACAATGATGATACTTGTTTTGCATCATGAGGCCTCCTTTGCCAGTACCAAAATATGAGAAAAGGTTTTTCCCCATTTTTTCTGGCAACAAAAAAAACACCTTTTACAAGGAATCATGTCTGCATTAACCACAGTACTTGTGGTCAGAATCCAAACAAAAAAACAACACTGATAATTTCTGCATTGTCCTTGAAACTGATTGGTCCACACCAGAGACAGCTTTCTTTTGAGCCTCGTCTCAAACGGTGTTCGACCAGATGACTCAAAAAGGCGCACAGTTAAAAAAAAAAACTGTGTGCCTTTTGGCGTCATCTGGTTGAACACCGAATGAGACTAGGCTCTAAGGAAAGCTGTCTCTGGTGTGAGCCAATCAGTTTCAAGGACAATGCATAAATTATCAGTGTTGTTTTTTGTTTGCATTCTGACTGCAAGTATTGTGGTTAATGCACACACGACTCCTTGCAAAAGGTTTGAGTTTTGTCGCCAGAAACAAGGGGAAAACCCCTATTATTATGATCGTTGTTTTATTTGCACTTGGTATGTACAAAGTGAAATAGTTTCCTTGACTTTGTACTTACGGGGCAGTGGTGGGGGGATGAGTCTCTCCATAGAACAACCACTGTTGACTTCTCCACAAAGTGGTAGCAATTTTATCGACCCCGAGAAGATTATGGGATGAGTCAAACCTTCGCCCCAAACCAGAGCTCAATCAACCTGGAATTGAACTCGCAACCCACCAGAGTGAACCGCTTGCTCTACGACTGGGCCATAAACTGGACGTACCTGTTACAATAACCAGCTATACAACTGGCGCGTTCAACGGATCACTGCAAGGCTGACAGACACAGTAGGGGTATTGTGATTTTTTTTTACTGGGCAACAAAAGCGCTTTAATCTCTGTCGATGTTACGCTTCTGATAGTTCAATGTAACCCGCGGGCTTACGAAAGGTGCGCGTGTGTGGGTGTACACTCACGCAAAAAGTGACACCCACACACGCGTTGTGCGAGCGCCCAACAAAAGTACATACGGACGAGTTTTAACTTTTTCTTATTATTTTTGTTGAAGGGCAACGCCCTGCTGATGATACTCGGCAAGGCGAAACCGATCCAGAGTTTTGCCGTTTAAACAAATGCTGCAGTTGCGCATTGATTCGCAAGGATGGAGGGACTTCTTTGTTACGTGGAATATACAAACAGTTGTCTACATATTCGTTTATTACTTGCCCATATTCCTCTGACTATGTGCGGCAAGGGCAGTACAAACTCAATTGTTGTACTGTACTTGTACGCTCCCCGTGTCTATATCGCCACACCTTCACCAAACCCGCAGAGACCAGATTTTCAAATAATCCACGTGGCGAAGGGAGGCCCTCATCCAGCAGTGGATTGACAAAAGGGTTTGTCCGTCCGTCTGTGTACGAGTCATAATTCAGAGTATGCAAGGATTGTTGATGCAAAGAAAATCACCAACAATCCAGAAAAAGCCCCGAAACAAAAAAAACTCCCCGCTGCCGGTGCTGCCAACACATCACCCGTAAGCCACGAGACACGCCAAACGTGATTTAAGGACAGAAGCTTCTCCAATGTTCTCAGCGGTACCCGCTTATTTTTGCTGTGGTTATGGAAATGTACTGATAACAGTTCGTGCGGATCACTCACTCACGCGCGCACCCACAAAAACAATTCTCAAAACACTAATACCAGTTCCCTCGGCCTTATCTGAGTTTCAACCTGGAAATAATATAGTAGTAGGTTTTTACCCTTTTAAACTGGTACAAAACTGACACCTTTATTCAAGGCATCATGTTTGCCACTGGTAAAAGAGATCTCAAAGTGGAAGTAACATTTCAAAACTATCCTTGTTTATTATTCATACAGTACTTTATTATTAGTATTGTGCGTGTTTAAAAATAACGATAGGTTCTGTCAACTTGTAACACGGCGGCCGATGCACGGTATTTTCTCCCTCGCTCAAACAGAGAGAATGACTCAACACGGGCACGAACGAACCACAGACGAGGCAGTGAGCTGGCACCAACAATCGGCCAAGCTCTGCGGTCCTCATTATATGAAGACAATTTTGGCCAATTAATAAGTGTGTGTTGAAACATGACGGAAGGAAACTGGAGCACCGGGAGAAAACCCACTCATGCCAGGGGGCGGGGGGTGGGGGACTTTTTGTCCATCAATACTTCATCCCACTGACCCATTAGCTGTAGCTGGGAATCGGTCTCAGGTCATTGTGTTCATAGTGCAATGCGCTAACCGCTATGCCACCGCTCCTGCCGGAATTGTGAGCAGCTTTAAAAAATATGGAAACTTGTTGAAACTTTTTCATTGCCCTTATCTCAAGTTCAAGTTCATTTATTAGGTATAGCCCTGTGAGCCATTCGGCTCTTGAATCGGGTGCAACCGCAACAAATAAAAAACAAAAACATGAACAAAAAAAAACATCTTAAAGTGAATATGTGAATATGTGATATATATAATCTCATGCCTGTCAACCCCTTAGCAGTGCCTACCTTATTACTGATGAATTCAGACCTTATCAGATGTTCTTGTGCCATTGGCTGGGCTAAAGGTGCAAGTTATTTTGAACGTGACTCAAACAATGGACTTTAGAACTGTAAAGTGATTTTTGTTTTACTGCCGTACAGTTTCTTCTGAGAAAGTGGCCGATAAGGGATTATCTAAGTCCATAAAATCCAAAGTTTGGCGGCGCAAATCCTTTGACCGAATCCATTCATAAGTTAATCTCGCCTTGGGCAGAAATATGTTGATCTTTCAACATTAACTTTAAACTTTTTATTCCTGGAAAATTTTATTGCAAGTAGAATTAAGCTAATGAAAATCACAGTTTTCTTTTTCAAGGTATTGCCCCCGTAAAAGATAAAGGTGCAGCCCTGAAATGTGTTCCTTACGTCACTTTTGGTCAAAGGAGCCTCCACTAGCAGGCGCTCTGGGGAGCCCCTCTGCAGGATAATATTGGCTTAACTCTTCCAGCGCTCCAATTAGCATACATACACGTCTTTCAAGAGCTGGGAGTACCCACACTTTGTCCCACCAAACACAACCTGTCGATAGACTAACTGTGCTGTACACATTTATACTGCTGGGTGGACAGAGGTGGAGGGTAGGGAAAAAAAGAACAGGTTTTACCCTTTCTGGCAATAAAACAGGTGTTAAGATTCTAGATTTGAAGTTTTCGTGACTGCAAGGATTCATACTCTTTGTATTTTTCGGTAAAGTCACATAGGTAAACATTTCAATAAATAAAATAACATTGAATGAAAACATCTAAATTTTTACCCACGTGACTTTACCGAAAAAAACAAAGAGTAGGTGTTAAGATGTTGAAACACCAAATAGAAACCTTTTGCAAAGAATCAAGTCTGCATTAACCACACAGTACTTGTGGCGAACGTGCAAACAAACATGCTCCGGTAATGTATGCATTCTTTTTTAAACTGATTGGCCTACACCAGAGACAGCAGCCTTCTTTATGGCCTAGTCTCACCAGTCTCAGACCAGAGAACGCCAAAAGGCAAACATGTGGAGGGGTTGGGAATTTAAAAAACATGCCCTGTTGCTTTAATTTCCACGCCGGGAGATTGAACTGGTGAACCCTGGATGTGCTGACCATTACACCACGGCAGCATTCACACATTCACTCTACAAAGTGTACGGATTTTTCCTGTAGAATTCTATACAAAAGGCAAGCAAAAGCAGCCGTTTCAGAAGATCTGGCTCCAAATCCTCGTTAATGTTTACTGACCCGTGTCCACTTTTAAAGCCCTTGCGCATTGCTCAACGTTTGATCATTCTTCGTCCTCCTTTTACTCCTCCAAAACCACCCCTCCCCCCCCTTCCCACCAAGGGTCACCTTAAAATTTAACAAACATATTTCAGCTGCCAAAAACATTTTGCATCACCAGGCGATGCTGCCGTTCCCCCACAGCTACCCACGGCAACGCTGTTCACCGCCAAGTCCAGAAGGTTAACCGGGAGCCAATGCATTATTTTTTACTCATTAAAATATTTCACCGGCAGAATCCCTTGCGATGAAACGTCTGATCATGCAAAGGGTGTCCAGGGTAGCGACGGTGGCAACGGACACTAACGACAATCGTGACGATCGGGCACGACAATCGCGGTGGCAGCGGTGGTGCCAGCCTTACCATCACGGTTCTCCAGCCGTGGTGGCGGCGGCGGTGGCTCCTGCTCTGCCTCAAGCGGTGCCGGATGGCACGGTTGCCCGCGGAAGCGTGCCAGGTGCTCGGTCTCGATCAGGTCGCTGTCCTCTTCCTCCAGCGGCTGCCAGGTGCCGTCCACGAACCACTGTCCCCGCATCACCGCCACCCTCTCCGCCTCTGTGTCATCAACATCATTAACAGCCATGGTCAATCCACTGCTGGATAAAGGCCACCCCCCCCCCCCCACCCACTGCCCTATGACTACCGACCAAGTCGCCCCCCCGCCCCCCCGAAAACCAGATGGCAACCTGATTGTGCACAGTTGATCCCCATTCAAACACTATCCGGGCTTAACCCTACATAGCATCTGAGAGTTGATGGGATCGACTGCATTAAGGGCGATTTGGTTGAAAAATGATTAACGGTATTTATCATGCGAAAACTCCACAGGAGAAGACCAGGTCTGTCGGGGAGACAGCGTCTGAATGCATTCAGACGCTGTCTCCCCGACAGACCTGGATGCATTCAGACGCTGTCTCCCCGACAGACCTGGTCTTCACCTGAGGACGGCTGCTTGCGTTGTGGCCGAAACGTCGTGAGAATTATTTTATTATGTTTATTTTTATTATTTTATTACTTCCCTTCTACGTGACTTTACCGAAAGAACCAAGAAGATGAATCCCTGCAGTCACAAAAGCTTTAAATCGAAATACAATCCACAGGAGAAGTTATAAAGACATCAGAGGAAGTATGCAAGTGGTTGGAACGGTGGGAATAAATGTGTTAGGGATCAGTGGTGTAGCGTGGGTTGGCATGGGCCCCCCTGCAAGAAATTAAATGGGCACCCCCCCCCCTGCCACCCCTGTCCAAATCTGTTTCCACTCCAGCTATGTTTGTAGCCCGGAACTTGGGCCCTTCTAGCCCCGTGGGCTCTGGTGCAGTTGCACGGCCTCCGCACTTGATAGCTACAGCACTGGGGAGGGATAAAAGTCACGGTTAAATATCAAACTATGGGGTGATACTGTGTACACATTGGCGCGCACGCAGAAATAATGATATAAACTCAACGCATTTGTCAATAACAGTGTGGACTTAAAGTATATAACAGGCAACGTTTTGAGCAATGGGTATTTACTGTGAAGAAGGGCCATTGCCTGAAACGTCGCCAAGTACACAGCCAACATCACTGTTCCACGTGCTCCTTTTAAGTATCGGGCAGTGCCAATCTGCATTGGTGGTCACGTTCCGGTGGTGGGAATTCCACGTTCCTATGGCTGGAATGTGTTTGTACATAGGAGTTGGACAACAACCTGTTGATTTTCACCCAAGCGTAAGCCCCCTAGTCAGGTGATACTCATTTTACCAGCTACACAGAGGGATAATGAGGTAATGTTGACAGAGCCCAGCTGGGAATTGGACACACACTTACGTAGCAAGTTGTACTGTATGGCAAAATCATCATCATTAAGGTTGGCTGTGCCAAATTCTCATAAGTCATCCAATTCTTGATACAGTATTCCATTAAGCAAACCACTGCCAACAAAAAATATAAATGGGTGCTTCCTATGCCAACGTAAATTGACAAAATCAATGGACAAACATACGGTACTGTACTTGCATTGTGTATACTGTACAGACAACACTTACTGCCTCCCTGCACTGTGTGGATAATGGGGGTTATTTGACAATACTTCACCACGCTGGTCAGTACGAGTTGGTGAAGGGGAAGGGGGGCCCATACCCCGGACCGGCTTGGTTTAGATACCGCTTGCCACTGATGTTATCCACAGCAGGGAATCGAATTCGGGTAACCAGGTTCATAAAGTGTGAAACACTGCACTGTATTAATTGGCGAATCAGTAACATCATGACACCCCTAGTACATATATCTTAGGTTTTTTTAAAATTCATTTTAGAAATGGATTCCAAATCTTTAATCCCCTCCCCCCAAAACGTCTGAGAAATGGGAAGTCAGTAGAGAAGTTTCTAGAACCCCTTAGATTTTTTTGTACGGTGACATTTATCGGTCAGGTTATGATTTTCTTTTTACCACACATCCTATTCTTTTGCGCATGATGGAAAAATATGTTTAGGAGCACGATGCCAATGTCGAGGGCTGCTGCTCGCCAAGACGAGAGGGCTTCAGGAGACGGAGTTCGTATAGTTTCTGCTAGTCCTCCTCCTCCGTTGTAGTAACCCAAACTTAAGTGGTTTACTATCCAGTCCGTAGTTTGGGTTTCATGGCCACAATCGCACTACCGTGGTTTATCTGTAATGTACCTCCATGTATCTCAACGTATATGTTTACGTGTTTCTATGCGTCTCTACGGATCTCTATATCTCTATAGGTCTCTATGGGATTACTATGCGGTCCGTAATTTGTGCTGCATGGCCAGCCGCAGGCAGCACCGTGGCTTGCAAAGGAGACACGCACATCGGCCTGTTGATGTTCTTATGCGGCAGTTCTTTTGTCTACATAAATAAAAGGTCATATGTCGTACATGGCTCATCATCAACACCATAGGTCCCCGGTACGCTCTGGTCGTGAATGATCCCGAACTCGACTTGTGTACGATAAAAAAGGTTGTTCGGGTAATTCTAGAGACTGACACACTGACCCACAAATGGACAGATTGAGTTTCTTATCACGTGAGCAAACATATTTTGCCGGCACACGAACAATGACTCTCACCTTGCCAGTAGACTGGGTAACATTCCTTGCTCGCCACCGACACCTCGTAAAGTCCACCCCTCACGCACACCGGCTCAATGTCCTCCCCGACTCCTCCACCGGCGCCAGCGTGGTACCTACGGTATGCAAGTTCCACCTGCAATGAGTCGTAGCCATTGAAAGGCTTCCACGCCTTGCGCTCATCCCTGTAGAACCATCTGACCTCCTCGGGACCCAGCTCCTCCACAGCATCGGCCGAAAGGCGGGATGACGTTCTGGCACGTGATCTTCTGGAGGACCCGTCCAACGGCTCACCATGATCCCCGAGATCGTCGAGACCCGAGGGGTCGCAAGTCCCCATGGGATCCATGGACCCAGGGTTATGGACTCCGTCGTCCAATTCCATACAAACGTCCTCCAGCATTGTCCTCCGATGGGGCTGCTCCAAGAGCCTTCTCAATGTACTTCTCCACGGCCTCCACCAGGACCTTCTCCCCGAAGTCCTCCAGGTCCTTCTGCTGGATCTCCTCCAGAGCTTTCTCAATGTCCTCCTCCACCACGGAGTTCTCACCCCGTCTCTCCCCTCAATGTCAGCCGTTTCTCTTGGGTGACAGACACGGACAGATTGCTGTCATTAGAACCCTTTAATTGAGGACAGACAGGAGAGACCATTGCAAATAAGTCCCTTTACAGGGAGATTATCAGTGAGGCATACAAATGTAATTAATGACAAAAAGCAATGATGATAATGGACAACATGATTTAGGGCATTATATGTCAAGATTATTACGATGGACGGTTATAATTAAGATCATAAACAACAGAATTGAGGAGATTATGATAACGACAATGATAATGATTATCATGGTCAACCAGATTGAGATGATTATCGAGATGATCATGATGACGACGATAATGGACAAGATACCTGAGAAGATTATGATCAGGGCGATGATTGAAAACAGAACTGAAGGCACTATCATTGTCATTTTGATGGTGATGGATGGACAATGATGATTTTAATCAGGATGGAAAAAAAGAATGCGGAGATGATGATGAACAGAAAGATTATGAGATAAAAGCAATGATGTTGGACAAAGAGAGACGAGGGTTAACTAACTATTGTTATTGTACCAAGTAAGACCCACTGAGCTATGCAGCTCTATCACAAATAATAGCTCAACGAAGTGGCTTATGACGTGGAAATTGAAAAGCAGCATCCGAATACTCTAAACGCGTGATTTCGATTCTAAATGTGGAGGGGAAAATCGGAGTTACCCGAAGAAAAATCCACGCGACCACGGGGAGAGAGCGAGACACCGCAAACTCCAAATATACAGCAGACGTCAGGGTCGGGATCAAACCCACGACCTCCTGCATACCAGGCGAGGTAGTTAACATCTCCTAGTCACCGTGATGATGATGGTGAAGAGAGAGATACCGCAAACTCCAAATATACAGCAGACGTCAGGGTCGGGATCGAACCCACGACCTCCTGCATACCAGGCGAGGTGGTTAACATCTCCTAATCACCGTGATGATGATGAGCGAGAGACACGCAAACTCCAAATATACAGCAGACGTCAGGGTCGGGATCGAACCCACGACCTCCTGCATACCAGGCGAGGTGGTTAACATCTCCTAGTCACCGTGATGATGATGATGAGAGAAAGACACCGCAAACTCCAAATATACAGCAGACGTCAGGGTCGGGATCGAACTCACGACCTCCTGCATACCAGGCGAGGTGGTTAACATCTCCTAGTCACCGTGATGATGATGGTGAAGAGAGAGACACGCAAACTCCAAATATACAGCAGCAGGCGTCAGGGTCGGGATCGAACTCACGACCTCCTGTGTACCAGGCGAGGTGGTTAACATCTCCTAGCCACTGTGGCGTTCTTAAGACTAGATCCGGTAAATCAATAACCGTTGTTCAGAATCGATTACCGGTTTTACAGTGGAATTTTACTAACGGATGTACACTGGTTGGTACGCACGGACGTACAAACCGCACGGCGGTCTAAGCCACCGGGTTTGTACCTTTGCCCTCGTTTCTCTGTTAAAGATCGCGAGGCGTGTCTGTTTGTACGGCAAAACCGGTAACCGTTTCTCATGCGTTTACCGGTTAATACAAAACATGATTTAAGAACCCGCCCCGATCCCGAGAGACACAATACAATACTCACAAGGCAGATTCAATATATATAGACAAAGATCCACCTACATGCACCGATGTTGAAGATACACTCGTGAGTGTGTGTGTGTGAGGTTGATGATGATGATGGTGTGAGGTTGATGATGATGATGTGAGGTTGATGATGATGATGATGGTGTGAGGTTGATGATGATGATGGTGTGAGGTTGATGATGATGGTGTGAGGTTGATGATGATGATGTGAGGTTGATGATGATGATGATGGTGTGAGATTGATGATGATGATGGTGTGAGGTTGATGGTGATGGTGTGAGGTTGATGATGATGATGATGGTGTGAGGTTGATGATGATGGTGTGAGGTTGATGATGATGATGGTGTGAGGGGAAGGTGTGAAGGGAGTGATGATATTGAGGTCGGTGATGTCGAAGATGGTGGCGAGGACGATGTCGAGGGGGTGATGAGGGTGAGGGGAGGTGAGGAGGGGGGGGGGTGAGATGAGGGTGAGGGGGGGTGAGGGGGTGAGGAGGGGGGGGTGAGGGGGTGAGGAGGGGGGGTGAGGGGGTGAGGAGGGGGGGGGGTGAGGGGGGGTGAGGAGGGGGGGGTGAGGGGGGGTGAGGGGGGGTGATGAGGAAGGGGTGAGGGGGGGTGAGGAGGGGGGGTGAGGAGTGGGGTGAGGAGGGGGTGATGAGGGGGGGGGTGAGGAGTGGGGTGAGGAGGGGGTGATGAGGGGGGGGGGTGAGGAGTGGGGTGAGGAGGGGGGGGTGAGAAGGGGGGGTGAGGGGGGTGATGAGGGGGGGGGGGTGAGGAGGGGGGGTGAGGGGGTGAGGGGGATGATGAGGGGGGGGGTGAGGAGGGGGGGTGAGAAGGGGGGGTGAGGGGGATGATGAGGGGGGGGGTGAGGAGGGGGGGTGAGGGGGGTGATGAGGGGGGGGGGGTGAGGAGGGGGGGTGAGGGGGGTGATGAGGGGGTGATGAGGGGGGGGTGAGGGGGGTGAGGGGGTGAGGGGGGTGATGAGGGGGTGATGAGGGGGGGGGTGAGGGGGGTGAGGGGGTGAGGAGGGGGGGGTGATGAGGGGGGGTGAGAAGGGGGGTGAGGGGGTGAGGGGGGGTGAGGGGGGGTGATGAGGAAGGGGTGAGGGGGGGGGAGGGGGGGGTGAGGGGGTTGAGTGATGAGGAGGTGATGAGGTGAATGGATACGGGATGTAACGAGGGAAGAGCGTAGACTGACCGCGTGTGCCGCGTTCACCCCACACGGACCCACACGGACGAGCGATCGTCAACATCGTCGAGGTAATGACTCCCGTAGTCATTAGCGATGCTAATTCTACCCAACGCACAAATTACTCGAACACAACCACGCGCACACACATCACATCACACACACACGTCCACACACACCACACACACACATATCACATCACACGTACACACACACATCACACACACGTACACACGCACACACACATCACACACACGTACACACATCACACACACGTACACACACACACGTACACACACATCACACACACGTACACACACGTACACACACACGTACACACACGTACACACATCACACACACGTACACACACGTACACACACACGTACACACACGTACACACATCACACACACGTACACACACATCACACACACGTACACACATCACACACACACATCACACACACGTACACACATCACACACACACATCACACACGTACACACATCACACACACACATACACACACACATCACACACACGTACACACACATCACACACACACATCACACACACGTACACACATCACACACATCACATCACACACATCACACTCACACATACCCAGAGGTGAACAACGATGCGTTGCTGATGATGATGCTGCTGATGATGCTGCTGCTGTTTACGATGATGTTGATGACACTGCTGCCGGCGCTTGTTGATGATGCTGCTGCTGATGATGATGCTGCTGATGATGGACACTGCTGCTGATGCTGCTGCTGATGATGATGATGCTGCTGCTGATGGACACTGCTTTTGCTGCTGCTGATGATGCTGCTGTTGCAGGACACTGCTGCTACTGCTGATGATGATGATGCTGCTGCTGATGGACACTGCTTTTGCTGCTGCTGATGATGCTGCTGTTGCAGGACACTGCTGCTGCTGCTGCTGATGATGGTCTTGCTTCCACCGCTGTCGTTTCTTTAAAAAAACAGTACCGATGCCGCTGATTGTAGTGTTTTTATCTTGCTGCTGCTTGAAGCTGATGATGCTGCTGACACTGCTGCTGCTGATGATGATCTTGCTTCTACTGCTGCTCTTTCTTAACGCCGCTGTTATTACTGATTGTAGCGGCGATCGTGAAAGCTCCTGCCGCTACTACTGAAGCTGTTGATGCTGCTGCTGATGATGATGCTGCTGCTGATGTTGCTGCTGCTGCTGATGATCATCAGCCGGCTACTGACGCCTCCTCGGCGTGACAGACACACACAGACACTACGTCTGTCTTTAAACATCACGGGGTGTACTGTAGCGTCTGTGTCTGTCGGTGTGTGCGTGTTGTGTCTTTATATATTAATATATTAAACACTGTATATATTAATATATTAAACACTGTATCACTCGCACATGTGGCCACTTAGCGCCACCACGTGGCCAGTGCCGGGGAGCGGTGGCGGAGCGGTTAGCGCGTTACAGCCCCCCCGCCCCACCCCCCCGGCTTTACCACCCGGGTTCGATTACCAACGATTATCACGAGCCGGTGCTGGGACTCCCCTAGGTCGACTCGGCCTCAAATAAGTATACCCTGGTGCGATTTGTGTAATGACGCTGTCTGAATGACGCCGTCTTTCCGACAGACCTGTTCTTCACTATGAGGACTGCTGCTTGCGTTGTGGCCGAAACGTCGTGAGAATTATTTTATTGTTTTATTTTTATTATTTTATTATTTCCCTTCTACGTGACTTTACCGAAAGAACCAAGAAGACATTTAAACACTGTAACACTGCACACGTGTGTGGGCCACTTTGCGCCACCGCGTGGCGAGTCCCAGTGTTGTCACTCACCAAATTGTGTAAATCTGCCTTCGCCTATTGGCGAAACGTCGTACTCAGATTGTAATTGTTGTGGATTTTCTCTCCGTCACACCGGTGGTTAGTGCTGTACTGCTAACGAATTGGCACGTTCGGTTTACGTGACAAACCTTTACTAAATTAACGGTGTCGGTGGTGGCTGGTTTAATGACAGACACATTTATATATTTACGCGATCTAACCCCAAAAAAACCCGTATATTTGGGATCATAAATGTATTATGATTATTTCCAGCGGCCAGCGTTGTTGAAGTACCATGGTCAAATCACGTCGTGGAGAGGCCTTCATCCAGCAGTGGATTAACAGAGGCTGTAAATTAGTCCCGTTATTACACAGGTTGTTGTCATTACCACCACCACCGTCATAATCAGCATTATCAGCAGCAGCAGCAGACATCCATCAATTATCGATTCCAGTTATCAGCATCACATCGGATTTCTCCAGTTTTAAACAGATATTCTGATATCCAGAACAAGTCCATGCAACGTGTAAAGTCGCAATCAATGCCCGATCCACAAATGCGAATGAGAAATCACATCGGTTATCTTGGCTTTACCACCTGAATGTGAAATTGTTGTTGTTGCTATGCGTCTACATCAGCGACACGAATGAAGAAGCAGCATTATTATCAGCAGATATTATCTCCTCTATCCACTGCTGGATGAAGGCTCTCCACAAGCCTTGCAACAGCTCCATCCCGACAACTGACCACGAGCCGATTTCTCTTGTAGCTGGAGGGAGATGGTTCCATTATCCTAGTCACAACTGACTTTCACGCAAAATTGTTTTCACACTGAATTGTACCAAATTCTAGCTCTTGAGAATGAAACATATCAGCTCATCGGTCACGTGACAATTCCGTAGCAGTGTGGGAAAGTATGCCGAACCTCCGATTAGCACGGTTGGCTACGTACGGTGCGAAAGAAGTTCAAAATACATACATGCCTCCTCGTGTGTAAAAAAAAAAACATTTTCACTTGAAAGATATTTTAAGGGTTAATAGAGAAGCCCTGTGCGAGATCTCAACAGCCATTCTCTGGACATATGGGGCAAACCGATGGAAAGATTCCAAATGGATTCTTCAACTTATGGCGACGACGATGCCTCAAGAGTGGAGGGGGGGGGAATATGAAAATCTCACCAGTACAGAAAAAGTAAGGAAAACTGTCAAAGTCTTTATTAAAATAAATTGTTCGAACAGAGTATATTGTAAAAGTTGGTTGTGATGCAAACACACACATGTCTTATGTTTCAGGATATCAGACCAACAAATCAGCATGAGCATTTAACGTATATCTGCACAATAAAAGGTTACCTTAGCATTGTTCAGTAGCATTGCATGCAAGTAGAAAAAACGCTTCGTAAATGCATTAATACAAATTTGAAAGGCTAATTGCACACGTTACTATAATTTCACAATCAAATTAAATGTGTGATTAAATCTGACTGATAATTACAACTTCATACAAATCTCCGCTGAGATAACCCATTAATCCAGATGAATGCCGAATGATGCCACTGGAATTAAAAGCATAATTGCGTTGAATTGTGTGTGCACTAACCACCACAACACACCACACTAACTAACCACACTTTCAGCCACTCATGAGACCGAGTCGAGCTAGGGGATACCCAGGACGGGTTCAAATAATCGTTCCCACCCACACACACTACCGACAGACGCACTCACCCACCACCCACCATAACCACACGCACTACCAACAGCCACACTCACCCATCACAACCACCCACACACACTACCAACAGCCACACTCGTCCACCACCCACCACAACCACCCACACGCACTACCAACAGTCACACTCACCCACCAAAACCACCCACACACACTACCAACAGCCACACTCGTCCACCACCCACCACAACCACCCACACGCACTACCAACAGTCACACTCACCCACCAAAACCACCCACACTCACTACCAACAGCCACACTCACCCACCACAACCACCCACACGCACTACCAACAGCCACACTCACCCATCACAACCACCCACACACACTACCAACAGCCACACTCGTCCACCACCCACCACAACCACCCACACGCACTACCAACAGTCACACTCACCCACCAAAACCACCCACACTCACTACCAACAGCCACACTCACCCACCAAAACCACCCACACTCACTACCAACAGCCACACTCACCCACCACAACCACCCACACGCACTACCAACAGCCACACTCACCCACCACCCACCACAACCACCCACACGCACTACCAACAGTCACACTCACCCACCAAAACCACCCACACTCACTACCAACAGCCACACTCACCCACCACAACCACCCACACGCACTACCAACAGCCACACTCACCCACCACAACCACCACAACCACCCACACGCACTACCAACAGCCACACTCACCCACCACAACCACACTCACTACCAACAGCCACTCATCCACCACAACCACCCACCACAACCACCCACACACACACTACCGACAGCCACACTCGTCCACCACCATGCCGTCGTAGTGACGAAGCACCACGTTGTCGCTGTTGTCGTAGTAGAGCATGGAGATGGGCGACAGGTGCACGGGCACGCAGCACGGCTGTGGCACCCCGCGCGGGTCCACCGCGTGCACCAGCGTCTGCAGCACGGCGTGGTTGGTGCCGTTGAGGGCCTCCCCGAGCGGGTAGGGGCACTCGCCCGCGCAGTAATTGGCCAGGTATCCCTGCGGAGCGATCACCCAGTCGTGCCAGCCCACGTCTCGGAAGTCGACGTAGAGTCGTCGGCGCTTGCACACGTTGCTGGGAGTGACCGGAGATGCTGATGACGACGATGATGAGGATGAGGATGCTGATGTTGAGGATGATGATGCTGATGCTGATCCGGGTGACGTGGGGAATGGGGAGTGGAGGTCGTGGTGATTGTCGCCCATACTACTTTGGTGGGATGCGCTCCGTTTGGCACGTCTCGTCGTGCACCGAGAGCCATCCATGGAGATGAGGAGCAGCGAGGAGCGAAGTTCCTGCTCGGCACGTTCGCACAGGCTCGGTTCCTTCGAGGCCGATGATGTTGCTGCCCACGGGGTCTCCTTCACTCCTGCGTTCGGCTTCGATGACGACGACGCTGCTGCTGCTGATGAGGACGATGACAAAAAGGGCATTGATCCCTCCTCATTCCATTCTGTGGACAGATCCGTGGATGATGACGACGACAATGACGACAATACACCTTCCAATGCTGCGTACAGCTTCGATGAAGAGGACAACGATACCTCTTCCACGTCGGTGTGCAACACATCCTCTTCCTCCTCCTCAATTTCCAGGAAGACGCTCAGCTGTCCTTGGCCGATGGCTTTCCGCGCCTCCTCGGTCAGGTCGAAGGTCCAAGCCGAGCGAGAGAGCCTCACGGAACTCGACACAATGGATCTCAGCTGCTGCTCCGTCCCTCCTGCTCCGTGTATCGCCGAGATCCGGAGGGACACGGGCACTTCCCCGCTTTTGGGGCCGTAGGACGCTGGCGGCAGGACCAGCTGCAGCCGAGCCATCCCGACCTTCTCGCCGGCCTTCTGCGCCACCGTCAGGTTGAAGAGGAGCCGTCGGGACGCGCAGAGCGAACGCGTCGTGGAGATCCGTGGAAGGTCCACGTGGCTGCCTGTGCACAAGGGTGGATGGATGGAGAATTTGAATTAAAATCGGCTATAAAGCTCTTTTTTCCCCCCCACCAGATGTTTCAGTAGGGGCACGGGGTAAGAACGTTACCACAAACAATACAAAAAAATCGATAGGAGTGCAAAGGTAAACAAATCACTGACAACTAAAACTTCAATTTTTTGTTTATCTCACCAGGTATAGCCCACGGAGGTATTACCAGAGGTGTGGACTCGAGTCATGTGACTTGGACTCGAGTCAGACTCGAGTCATGAATTTGATGACTTCAGACTCGACTTGGACTTGCATAACAATGACTTTGTCCCACCTCTGAGGTGTGGACTCGAGTCATGTGACTTGGACCCGATTCAGACTCGAGTCATGAATTTGATGACTTCAGACTCGACTTGGACTTGCATAACAATGACTTTGTCCCACCTCTGGGTATTACCTCTTTTTTTATGAAGAGACTCGACCACAAATGATGGCTCAACAAAGTGGCTCACCACGTGGACATTTAAAGACAGATCAAACGGACACGGCGAGATGAAGAGTCACATTTGGGACCAAGGGTTAGGGGAACACTTTTTTTTACTCAAATAACTTTCAAATTACTTGTAAGTTTGGCGGTCAACACATCAAAAACTCTCTCAATAGTAATGCGTTACAAAAAGGTAATTAGGGCTCAACATCACCGCGCGAGCTGGCATTCGAAACTCAGCGTCGTTACCGGGAATAAATGATGCCCACCCCCCTCCTCTCGAACTCGATTAGTAAGGATAGTTCTATCCGATTGGCGAGGATGCTTTGCAATGACATATATATCCTGCGGGTCACGACGACTCTTTCGCTCGTTCTCCCGCACTCCCTCCCATTGTCCTTTCCCCCCCCCCCTCCTCTCTCTCTCTCCAGGTCTCAATAATAACCTTGCTCAATTCTCGAAATTTATTGACTCATCTACTCGTATAACTTTTCATAGTACGGTTTTTTTGGTGGCCGCTTGACGTTTTGGAGCCTTTGGAGCCATGTGCTGAGCAACGGTTAAAAAAAACATCCAATGTGTTAATAATCAGGATGACAATATGTATTTATACCGGAGTAATCCGATGAGCTATAAAGCTCCCTTTCACACATCTCCAGTAAGAGCATGTCAGAACGTCGCAACAAACGATACAAAACACAATAGGAGTGCAAAATTTCGGTCCACGAGCCAGGAGGTCACAGCATCAGAGTTGACCCCACCTGACCAGCAAGGGCTCACCTTGGTCTGGAATATGTCGAATGATGTTGCCGGTCACTCCGTATCGGGGTAGGCGACACGGCCGCTCTCGATCCCCTCCATCAGCACCGCCATCGGCACCACCACCATCATCAGCACCGCCATCGGCACCACCACCATCATCAGCACCGCCACCAGCACCACCGCCACCATCATCAGCACCGCCACCAGCAGCACCGCCATCATCACCTCCGCGGTAAAGCTTCCACATAAAAGCCGGGATGGCGCGGCGAGCAGCCGAGGGTTTGGGCCGCTCAGTGAGACCCAGGGCCCGAAGAAAGTGCATCTCTTGCTTCTTGAAATCATCTTCGAGGTCATCCTCAACCCCTGGTTGAACGGGCGCAGCTTTATCTGCGGTCTCGTGGCCCAAAGTGCCAGCCGTCAGCAGATGAGCGTAGTTGAACAGCAACGATAGCAGCAGCAAGATGAGCACGTGGGTCCCCATTGTTGTGATTCTTGCTGCTGGCGATGATGATGATGACGCTGCTGCTATTCCAAGTTTCTTTAAGCAACTGAACTGGATACGTTCTCGACGTCCTGGAGGTTGTAGAACTTTTTTTAAAAACCCTCTGCTCTTGTGTTTAATGGTCACGCAAAAAAACCCAGCGAGCAGAGGCGAATGTGTGTTTTGAAATCTCAATCACCTTCTCCTCCCCCGCACTATGTACATATCCCACCACCTCATCCTCCCTCAATCAACCCCCCACCCCTCTTCACAGTAGGAAGCCATCTACCCCAAGTCGCCCCGCTGGCTGATTAGCATTCCTGCAATCCCTGAAACTAATCAAGGGGCAGATGCTGAGATTAACAAACACGGAGCTCTAACGGACAATGTATTTTCTGACGTGCGATGCATTATCTAACGTGCTTTATCTTACAGAAAGTACAATTATTTAGCGTACAATATATTATTGGTTCTTTCGGTAAAGTCACGTAGAAAGAACCAAGAATATGAATCCCTGCAGTCACGAAAGCTTTAAATCAAAATTTAGTACAATATATTACCTAAAGTAAAATTGTTATCTGAAGTGCAATTGATTATCTGAAGTGCAATGTATTATCGAACGCACGTTGTATAATCTTACACATTGATAAAGTTATTCATACGTAATAGAATGCAACATACACATTAGAAATAATTTGTTACATCGGTGTAATTTGCCTGCTTTGTGGGTGGAGCGGTGGCGCAGGGGTTAGCGCATCGCGCAATAAACCTGACGACCTGAGTTCGATTCCCGACCACGGCTAACAACTGATTAAGTTAACATGCATCAATATGATGTGCTATGAATCAGGTTCCTTAACCGAAACGTCATATATATTTCCATTTTGGGGGGGGGGGGGCAGTGTTATTGACGAAGGTTCGTGTTATTACCACTGCCAACGCGGCATTACAAACCAGTGATCAACATCAGATCATTAGGGACATGCATCGTCATCGTCAACAGCCATGAGCAATCCACTGCTGGATGAAAGGCCTCGCCACGTCGCCGCTTTCCCTCGAAGTCACGCACGGGTCTTGATTTCGGCGACATTAGATTATAACTGCGACATTAGATTATAACTGCGACATTAGATTATAACTGCACGGTTCACACGTTTCACGCGAGTAACCAATCGACGCGTGCGTCACCTTTAATTGTCAATTAAGAGAGAAACGTATATGGTGATGAGCAAGTGTGGTTTCATTACGCATTATTAAGCGAATGCGTTTTTATCATTCGGCAGCTATTAGATTATTGCTGTAAAAAAAGACGTGAGATCATTCTTTATAGCCCTCTGTCAATCCAATGCAGGGTGAGCACGCGAGAGGCCACGATGAGTCATTTGCAACGGTTACCTGGGTCATCAGTGGGAAAGGCGAAACTCAGAGATTAAAGATTCACAATCAGGATCAAAGTACAGGGTGGTCCAGATGTCTTGTGACCCCTATTTCATTCCCCAAAACGTCATCTTTTGAAGGTGAAGTTTATTTAAAACGGAAAAAAATAACATGTTTAGGGTTCAATTAATTGGGGGTCGCAAGACAGATCTGGTCCACCCTGTAGAGCAATCAAGCAAACATTAATCGGAGCAAAAACAACTGCATACCTACCAGACCATACTGCTTACCCCGTACAGATAAATTGAGTTTTCAGGTCCATATGGCCTACAGCCGTTTCAAGACGGGCCAAAAATAATCGTTTATTTGTTTGTGTTTCTCCCTTGTGATGGGACTTTGTGGGATGAACGTTGAGATTTATAAAGGACACGGGGTGACCAAAAAGGTCTGAAATGATCTGTAATAAGGTCGGGCACTGATAAGGGGTTGACATGTATGCAACTGTGTCGCATGAGAAATGGAAAGTATTGCAAGAGACGTAAAACAATGTTGACTAATAACTTGGCTCTAACCTAAGTCAGCTCGGGTGAGATTATTTTTAGCGAGGTTAATTCTTGTTAAAGGACGGGAGATTGTGCGGGGTGGGATAAACTATTTTCTCGTCTTCCAGAAGACTCTAATTGTCTTATGGTTGTTATTGTTTGACTTGCATCCCACTGGGATTTTTGCTTTTTTTGGAAGACTTTGCTGTTTTTTCCTGAAATTTTCTGTTGCGTGAAATCACTTTAAGATGTTTATGTGTGTTGCGGTTGCATGGCTCACAGGGCTTATACTGTACCTAATTAATGAAACTGAAACCTCTACAAGAATTCGAAATAATCTCTTCCAGAATTAGAAGAGGTGTTCTTCGACATTCAGAAGACCCATCGATTTTTCAGAACATATCTTTCAGTTTTAAAAGATAACTTCCAGATTCAGAAGTCACCTTTCAGAGTCAGAAATAAGATACTCTTAGGTTTTTTCGGTAAAGTTACGTAGGTAAAAATAAATAATAAAATAATAAAGACATTTAAAAAAATAAACCATCATTAATATTAATAAAATAGTAAATCAGTATAATATATTATTGTATTACTTATTTTTACCTACGTGACTTCACCGAAAAAACCTAAGAGTATGAATCCTTGCAGTCACGAAAACTCCAAATCTAGAATCAGAAATAAAATCTTCAAGATTCGGAAGAATCTCATCCAGAACGAGAAGACAACTTCGAGTTTCAGAAGATCACTTCCACATCCAGAAGACATCTTCCAGGTGACGCCCCCTTTCTCGACCTCCACCAATCACGATGCGCCTCTAGGGTTGGGGGCGGGGCGTTGACGCCCAATCGGGAGGCGGCATTTGCGCACCACGTGACTATTTTTGAAATCAAAACGCGCGGTTGCCGTGGATAGCACAATCTTAGCGCGTCAAAAGCGGCTTAAAGATTTAAACTTCTCAGCAACGTTTCCCGTCAACAACGAAAAGGTGCGTGCTTTTGGGTGTTCAGTCTCAACAGTCCTGTTTAGTCTCAACTTTGTGTTTCGTGTTGACACGCGACAGGGAACGTGATTTCGGTGTGTCGGCTGACCGCGCGTGTGTTTTTGAGGCCTTGTTCAAATCGGTCATCTCTAATGTTAGTCGCCTTTATCGAACCTTCGGTTTAATAAAACAAATAAGGAGGCAGATCAATCGGCAGCGATGAACGGGGGTTAATCGGTTCGTGTGCAAGGGGCGGTGGTGGTTGAGTGAGGCTTGCGTCGAGTAGTGGATCGATCATGGTTGGTGATGGTGTATTTACGTGAAGACGCAAATGAAGGCACGAACAGTGATGTGTTTTGTAAGTGAAAATAAAAATCTGAATAAGTTTTACCCGTTCTGGTGAATAAAACAGGAGGTATTTACACCATTGGAACCTTATTTGCCAGTAAAAAAATATAATTGGTTTTTAACCCTCTTATCTGGCAACAAAACTGACACCTTTTTTGTTTGCATTATGACTGCAGGTATTGTGGTCTATGCAAATATGACTCGTAAAAAAATGTGTCGGTTTTGTTACCAGATAAAAGGGTAAAAAAACAATTATCAAAACAGGAGGTGTTAAGACGTTCAAACACCATCGAAACCTTTTTTTGCACGCTTATTATTAAGTCATTCTGTCTGTTGTCGTTGTTGTATCCTCAAATCTTGTAACTCAATTTTAACCCACTTCCGAATATGGTATCGACTGCAAACTTGGTATACTTATGTCATACTGATGACAATACTATATTCTATCATAAAAATATATTTTTAAACAATCTTTTTACACGCTTTTTATTAACTCTGTCTGTTGTATCCTCAAATCTTGTAACTCAATTTTTACCCACTTCCCAATGTGGTATCGACTGCAAACTTGGTATACTTATGGCATACTGATGACAATATTATATTCTATCATTAAAAAATATATTTTTAAACAATCTTTTTACACGCTTTTTATTAACTCTGTTGTTGTCGTATCCTCAAATCTTGTAACTCAATTTTAACCCACTTCCCAACGTGGTATCGACTGCAAACTTGGTATACTTATGTCTTACTAATGACAATACTATATTCTATCATAAAAATTTAAGGATATATTTTTAAACATTATTTTTTATATGTTATGTTTCGGCTTGGGTCTAATTCTCCACGGTCAACTGACGTTGGCTGTAATTGGCCACGGTCGCTTACGTTGTGGCAAGCTTAGGGGCCACTTCCTGGAGTCGTGGAGTTCTGCCATTAATAGTACATTTAATAAAAGCGTGTTTAAAAAAATATTTTTAAAATATTACTTATTTAACAGCAAGACTAGCAAGACTAGGCCCTGAAGCAATGCAAGGGCTTTAAAAAGTGGTCAAGGGTCAGTAAACATTAACGAGGATTTGGAACCAGATATTCTGAAACGGCTGCTTTTTTTGCCTTTTCTGGAGAATACTACGGGGAAAATCCGTACACTTTGTAGAGTGAATGTGTGATTGCTGCCGTGGTGTAATGGTTAGCACATCCAGGGTTCACCAGTTAAATCTATTGGCGCGAAGTTAAAGCAACAGGGCATGTTTCTTAAATTAAATCACGACGTTTCGGAGGCAACACAAGCTTCCGTCTTCAGGTGGAACCGTCACAGCAAAATTTAGCTGTGACGGTTTTTTACCTACGTGACTTTACCGAAAATACCTAAGAGTATGAATCCTTGCAGTCACGAAAATTTAAAATCTAGAATCATGTTTTTTAAATTCCCAACCCCTCCACATGTTTGCCTTTTGGCGTTCTCTGGTCTGAGACTGGTGAGACTAAACAAGGCTACTGTCTCTGGTGTAGACCAATCAGTTTCAAAGACGATGACAAATATTATCAGAGCATGTTTGTTTGCATGTTCACCACAAGTACCTTGGGGTTTATGCAGACTTGTTTCCTTGCAAAAGGTTTCTATTTGGTGTTTGAGCATCTGAACATCTCCTGTTTTATTACCAGATAGGGTAAACACCTATTCTTATTTTTTCATACTTTGATACACTCAAAAAGTTGTGCGTCTCGCGGCGTCTCTTAAAGGATTGTAAAGATGCGTGAATGCCGATTAGCACGGTTGGCTACGTATGGTGCGAAAGAAGTTCAACATACATCACTGAAAATAAGTCACATGCGCAAAAGCAAAACTTGGAAGCCCCGTTTATCCTCCTCAGCACCGTGGTGTGTGTGATTGGTCTGCAGGGACACAGCAGCTCACGGCATGAGCGAGTTCAACTCGTCGGACGAAGAGGTGGACCCTGCACAGAGCGAGCAGCCGCCTTTCCGCATTGACTGGTGCGCGTTTTCCATATTCAGAATTCATTCATCCACGAAAGGAGACGAACAAAATAATCGATTCTCCCCCGGTTTTTGTGACACATTGTCGATAACTTGCCGTTTCTGGGCCAAACTTATTGAGCACGATGATTGTTCTAACGCTGCCTTACAACTGTGAGCAATGAAATGACAGTATTATACTTACCAGGCATTTTTTTGGGTTAGATCGCGTAAAGATATAAACGTGTCGTTAAACCCACCACCACCCGACGCAGCCAATTAGTAAAGTTTGTCCCCTAAACATAACTTGCCAATTCGTTACTATTACAGCACACCGGTGTGTTGGAGAGCAAAGCCACAACATTTACAATCTGAGTACGACGTTTTGCTAGTAATTACAACTAGCTTCATCAGGCGACAGCCAGAGAAATCCTCCCGTTTTGTTCTTTAAATAGAGGGATAGATGTGATGACATTTATATATTTACGCGATTTAATCCAAACACCTGTATTATGGATGATAATGGTTGCGAAATCCTACAAATATACTTAAATACAATGTACTTAAGCAGTCCCCCTCCACCTCCTTCTGTTCCTCTCTTAAAGCCGCACCTCTTCTCTATCACCAGTTTCCTTCCTCATCCCTCTCCTCACCCCTCCACTTGGGTTCATCCCCCCCCCCTGTCATTTCGTGACCTCCATCTTGCCCTCTAGTTACAGTCACCCATTTCCTCGGCCCATTGGCCATCTAAATCACTATATTTCTGCCCCGCTTTTAACCTATGTAAAGCTCCTTGAGTTAAGGTGCTCCACAAAAGATAAAATAAAGATAAGATGTAAATTCATAGAAAGATAAGATATTATACAACGACTCCTCTACTTACGAACATTTGACTTAATAACTTTGAGACACACAAACAAACCTGTCCATATGTCCAGTTGCCTGTTAGGACCGAGAGTCGTAAGTTCAACCACCGAGCAATAGATAGTGCTGGTGGCATCGACGTGAAGAACCAGCAGCATCTACATGTGTAGAGGAGAGATATACGCGGTGCACGCAGTTAAGCGGGTGCAACTGAGGACAAACAGGTGTGCGCGTTGCACAATGAGCTTTGCATCGACAAACCGACAGTAATTAAGGGGAGAAGCGGGTGCAAATGGTCGAACAGGTGGGAACGTTGAGGCCGGAGGTTGGTGTCGGGGTGATGATAAGGGATTAATGAGGACACCAGGCGCCGGGCAGGCGGCTTAAGGGGAAGCACGTGAGGACTCGGAATGAGCAGGGGGATGTAAGCGGGAGTGTGCGTGAGCGGAGTTGAGTGGCCCGGGAACCAAGAGTGAAGACATCTCGCGGCTCAAGCCATCAACGAAGCCTCGACCCTCATGCCGTCGCTGGGCAGGTGTTGGCTGAACCCCCGCCCGTGACAGACGGGTGAGCGGGTATGAAGCAACGTAGGTGAGGGCAGCTGTGGAGATGCAGAGTTCTAAAAGCTGCTGTGTGCAGAGTGGCTGAGTGCAAAGTCGCTGTGTGCAGAGTTGCTGTGTGCAAGGTCGCGGAGTGCAAAGTTGTTGTGTGCAAAGTCGCCGAGTGAGTTGCTGTGTGCAGAGTCGCTGAGTGCAGGATGGTCAGGTGCAGAATAGGTGAGAGCGAAGATAAGTGAAGTGTATGTGACAGTAAAGATAGATATAGGAGTGCCTACAACTGGCGCGTGAACAGGAGTAATAAAGTGTAAGCAGGTGACTTGTTACCACTTGTTGGTGTGAGTAATTTTTGAAGACACTACACATGTAAAGGGAATTATACAACTTTTAAAGCCATTCCCTGTGTTTAGTGTACATGCCGTACAACGTGTTTGGAATCGGTAGGAGTAAAGTTGGACTTACGGACAAATCGACTTATGAACAGACTTGGAACCTAATTCGTTCCTAAGTGGAGGAGTCCCTGTATATAACTACGTTGTGCTGATGCTCTTAACCCTGTGAGTCATCTGGCTAACCCGCACCCGTGTGTGTGTGTTTGCGCGGTCGTGTTTTTTGTGATTGCCACCCCAGGCTTGACCTCTCCATAGTGGGCTATCCCACGCTGAGCTTGGGGATCAGCAGCCTGCCAGGTGAGCTGACTTCACAGCTGTCGGGTCCAGTGGCTGAGTGCCCATGTGACCACAAACACGTTGGCAGATAATCGAGTCAGTTGTACATGAGGAGGCATAAACATTATAATTAGGATGACATATGATAATTTTTTGGTATCCACCTATCCACCCCATTGCCCCGGATAATCGAGTCAATGGTACATGAGGAGGCATAAACGTAATAATGAGGATGAATTATAAATTTCAGACATCAGCGATCTACACATAAACTCTGACACACACATCGCAGTTACTTTGGTGACTCCAGTAGGCGCTGACATTGACGCTGAGCTTACTAAAATAAGAAACTTGGTTTCCAGGTCATAAACATTCCCCTTCAGTACCCAGTTAGTGTGGCTAAAATGCTTGCTTAGAAGTGGTAGGCGTCGTACGACCGCAGGCCATATGACATTAAGCAGCGGGCTGTATCCGACCCATGGGCTGGAGGTTAGACTGATCCCTTGAGTGGGTTCAATGGGCAGAGTGCTCCAGAGCACTTTTCTGTTGAACACCCTGTCAGCCCAGAGCGCAGGAGCTAAACGGTGTGAGGAGCTAACTCATTGAGCTATCAGGTTAACACGTAGGCTTTCGCGACCAATATTATTCATAATCAACGTTTTTGGGTTTAGATCGCGTTATTTATAAATGTGTCGTAACCCTCCACCACCCGACACGGCCAATCAGTAAAAAAGTGTCACGTTGACAAAAGACAAATAGTTCACTGCTTTAGCCCACCGGCAATTGCCCGATGATGCTGGATGCAATTACCAGCGAAACGTCGTACTCAAAAATTGTAAATGGTGTGGTTTCACGCTTCAACACACCGGTGGGCTAAAGCAGTGAACTATTTGTCTTTTGTCAACGTGACACTTTTTTTTACTGATTGGTCGTGTCGGGTGGTGGAGGGTTACCACAAATTTATAAATAACGTGATCTAAACCCAAAAACGTTGATTATAAATCATTGAGCTATTTTAAACTTATCCATTTATAGTGTCACAATCAACCGCTTGAAATTTGAATAATGGATCTTTAGTGTCTTTCTGCGCTATGTGTGATGCAACTCATTACGTGGGCATTTTGGAACGCGCGTACAATATTTACGTTCATGTTCACACGGCTCGCCAGACACTTGTTATGCGCCGTGTCATTGTTGTGCACCTTGAGACGCAATTAGCGTTCATGAAATCCAGATTGCTTTGTGTAAACTAGCAGATGATGTGCTGGCCGTCTGTACGTTTTTCGAGGAGATCCTTTTTCTGTACAGGTTGCAAATTCAAGGAGACATGGAGAAACTTGGACAAGGATCTTGGTGAGGTCGCTTTTTTTCTTTCGAAAGGACATTTCTCAGTTTGGGTGGTGCAGCGGTCAGACCATATGACGATATCTATTGGCGTCATATGGTCCAACACCATGTGAGACTAGGCTCTAAGGAAAGCTGTCTCAGGTGTGGACCAATCAACTTCAAGGACAGTGCATACATTATCAGAGTTACGTTTTTTGTTTGCATTATGACTGCAGGTATTGTGGTCTATGCAAACATGACTCCTTGTAAAAAAGGTGTCAGTTTTGTTGCCAGATAAAAGGGTAAAAAAACAATTATGATATCTATTGAGCAACATTGGGCATTTCCCTGTCTTTTCTTTTTCGGGCACCGTCACCCTATACATTCTCAGAATGTTTTAAGGAACAACCGGAGCCTGGGAGCGAGGGATTGATGGAGAGAGGGATAGCTCTTGGGGTGATGATGATGGAGGAGTGAAGGATGTGAAGAACGCTGGTTTATGTGTGGGCACCCTGATAATTGTTTTTTTACCCTTCTATCTGGCAACAAAACTGACACCTTTTTTACAAGGAGTCATGTTTACATAGACCACAATACCTGCAGTCAAAATGCAAACAAAAAACATAACTCTGATAATGTGCACTGTCCTTGAAGTTGATTGGTCCACACCCTAGACAGTTTTCCTCAGAGCCTAGTCTCACATGGGTTGGACCAGATGACGCCAAAAGGCGCACAACTCGAAGACAATGCACCATCAGAGTATGAGAGCTCGGGGTAAGCATTTACACCATTGGAACCAGGCACTCTGTTTTCGCATCCTCCTTTGCCCCCACCTTCCGCCGTCGCGGTCGTGCGGTCAGACGAGGTGCAGTCGCAGGGCGTGCAGGACGTGCTGGTGCTGTGCACGCCCGGCGAGCTGGTCCACTGCCGCGTGCCCGACCTGCTGGAGGCCTACGCCCGCCGCGGCCTGCGCGTGCATCACGAGCCGGTGCTCGACGGCGCGGTTCCCGACGTGGCGCAGTGCTGCGCCCTCCTGGACACGATGCACGGGTCCCTGGGCGCCGGCAGGCGAGTGCTCGTCCAGTACGTCTCGCGTACTCGATGATGCGTAGGTAACTTCGCAGCCAATGTTATGATTTTGTAAGAGGGCGCCACGGTGGCGAGGTGTGAACTACCTCGCCTGGTGTGAGGAGGTCGTGGATTCGATCCCAACGTTGACGCCTGTTGTATATTTGGCGTTTGCGTGCCTCTCCTCCCTGTGGTCGCATGGATTTTCCTCCGGGTCCTCCGGTTTTTCCCTCGACGTTTGGAAACACGCATTTAGAGTATTTGGCTGCTATACATTTCCACATGATAAGCCACTTCGTTGAACTATCACTTTTTGGCCAGGTCGCTTTTGCAGAAGAGCTATATAGCTCAGTGGGCCTCACCTGGTAAAATAAAAATAGGTTAGTTTTAGTCCTTGGATTTGGGTTAGGCCGTGTAATGGTCTGGACATATCTGCTTTTCAGACCACCGCCCGACACAAATTAATTGTCAACCGTACAAGCGTTTAAAGCGCCAATTGTTATTGTTTCGGCTCACCGGTGAGTTAAAGATCAATTATTATACAAACGACAATAATCAGGAGAACAATTCTACATTTATTCTATGAGACATCTCCTTTACCAGTGGCAAAATATAGTGATAGGTTTTTACCCTTTCAACTGGTAGCTGTCTCGGGTGTGGACCAATCAACTTCAAGGACAGTGCATATCATTATCATCATCAGAGTTGTTTCTTTTGTTTGCATTTTGACTACTTGTGTTGCGGCTATTGCAAACATGATGCCTTGTATAAAGGTGTCAGTTTTGTACCAGTTGAAAGGGTAAAAACCTATCACTAAATTCTACATTTGGTTGCTGTTTTCATTTGGCACAGTTTTATCCCGATTGAGACGGACCAAGGGTCCTTCGAACTTACCCTTGTGCAAATTGGCCAAATTTATCAAAGGGATGCTGAACACTTGGGAGACCAAAAAGAAAAAACTGGCAAAATTATATTTCTGGCATCTGCGTTCTGGCGGCAAGAGTGAACACTTCTCCCCTCCAATACGGCGTCATTGTTACTTCATTATTACGTGCAGCATCTGTGTTGCCCTGTGACGTGAAACGTAAAGTCATTGTTGACAACGAAATACATCCGAGGACAAAGACACGTTTTAAATATTAGTTGCAAAAGCCTACGTGTTAAACGCACGTTTGAAAGTGTAATAGAAGAACCGTGCATATGCATGATTTTTCTTGTCCAACAACTCTTAAAATAGCTGGGCGATTCACTTAACAGGCCTGCTGAATAGTCATTTACTTATCTGTGAAAGCCTCATTGAGTCTTATGACTATTTTAACACAGAGAGCCTAGAACCGTGATGTTTGGCCAATTCCTATATAACTATTTACATGTGAATATCACGTGTTTCAGAATCAAATGTTTGCAATTCTCTGCAGTCACCAGATATTCTACATTCCCTTAAATGGCTACAAAGTACCAGATTCTTGATTGATGATTTTTTTTATAACACAGTTGCTGAGCACAGAGCCCAATAATTCCAACGTGTTATGCGGCCAGCAACAAGCGGCACTATGAAAGTTGTAACGGTTAAGCTTTAACACGGTCGTAATGTGACCCGCAATCTGCAATTCTGATTGGGCGTTGCCGTACCAACTGCCCACTCGGGGGAGCGGCGGTTGGATTTGTCCAGGATCTGGGCAAATCGTGATTCTGTTGCAATCGTGAATTTAATCATTCGTCACGCAAAGTCGGCAAAGGACCGTTGCGCCAAATGTGCGACCACTCGTGGCAGCGTTCGCATGAACTGCTCTTGCTGCCATCCATTACCGGCGTCTCGAGTGATTTGTTTGATCCACGGATCGCAGCGGCTGGTGGAGGAAGGCGACCATGGGGAGGGCGGCGCTAGTCGTTTAAGGGTCGCGCTCCACACTTCGAACGTCGCACGCCAACTGAAGTTAGCACAATTTTCCGCCGGAGTTTTTTGCGCGTCCACAAAGTGACAGCCGCCTCCTCCCTCGTCCTAGCGATCGAGAGCTCAGTTAAACGGTCGTAGATTCAAAAGTAAAATTTTTGACAAAGTCGAACCATCGAATGGGAAACGGTGCAACAATTGCTGCCGGTGACGATTGTTGGCAATCATTGCCCTAATTTTTCCCTCGGCGTTATCTTGGCCTTTAGCCAGGGACAGTCTGACCTTTCTATGTAATGTTTGCCCTGGGTGGTTGGGTGACTCACAAGGCTAATCTATCTATATATAAAAGGGAAATTTGTGAATATGTGTGTCTGTTCGAAATGTTTAGCATACTTCCCAATATGCAACAAACTTGAAATTTGGCACGTGGGTAGCTTCCAGACTGTACACAATGCAAAAAAGTATACAAATTTACTTTTGTATTTTGGGGGGGGGGGGGGGGGGGCGCAATAATGGATGTAATATATTTAACGGCAAGTGAGCGGTGACGTCACATCTGAAATAATTTGCTAAAATTACTACTCCTCTCAGATATGAGATAGAACTGGATTATCTTGAGCATTGGTGAGGGCCACAGTTTAACAAAGAATATGCAATGCACACCGTGTGATGTTTATTGTTTTGCCTCTTGCAGTTGCTACGGGGGCCTGGGTCGCTCCTGCCTATGTGAGTCCTGTGCACATTGCACATCGTAATTATATTCACGATCATTTCCATCTTCCTTTATTTTACGTTTACCCCACTGGCGCACTTGGGGTCGTGTGGTAAAAACAATCTACTTGTATCTTTCGCAGAGCAGTACAAACCACCGCGTTAGAGAACGGCCCGTGGAAGTTGATATCACATAGCTACCTCTGATATCGCTTCTGATCCACACACGGTAGGGGGGGGGGGGGGGCAGCACTTTTTCCATCCGTCCTGCCACGAGAGCAATGTCCGTTGCATGACGGTCATTCCATCCAATATCTTAACCCTTGGGGGGGGGGTTAACCATTCACTGTTATCGTCATCGTCCAGTCAAAATCAATCCACTGTCAGATGAAGTCCTCCCCAAGCCGTTGTCATCTCACTCGGTCCTGCGACCTAACAATCCACCGGGCTTCCGCCCAGTAAATAATTTCATCCCTCCGTGTCCGCGGAGGATGTCTTTCGAGAACGTAATACATGAATCCCAATCGTACTGCGTCGTATCATCTGTCCGTCAGCCCAGCTGTCGGTCCGTGTATCTGCCTGCGTGCGTGTGCGCAGTGGCTGCCTGCTTCCTGCTGCGCATCTCCGAGTCACTCAGCCCCGAGGACGCGATAGCGGCGCTGCGTGAGTTGCGCGGGAGGGCGGCCATACAGACCTTGCAGGTAAGTTGCCCTCAGCGGGCCGCCAAAATTAAAAAAACACGATAATAATCTATACTCAACACACAGCCTCACCGTGAAGGCTTTACTTGGTCACCTCTCCCCCCCCCCCTCTCCCCCCCCTCTCCCCCCCCCTCTCCCCCTCCCACCACCCCTGCCGTGTCACCCGCTTTCTCCGCTGCAGCAGTACAACTTCCTGCACGATTTCAGAGAGCTCCTGGAGGCTCACGTCACAGCGAGGATGGAGCAGGCCGAATCGAGGGCCGTGTCCCGTTAGGCCGGCTGCCGTGTCTCACTGGGGGCCGTTCACCCAGCAAGAGGGAGCCGGGGTGGGTGGATAGGAGGAGGAGGTGGAGGTGGGTGTAATGCTGGTGTAATGGGTGTAATGCTAGTGTAATGTGTGCAATGCTAGTGTAATGGGTGTAATGCTGGTGTAATGGGTTCAATCGAGGCGCACACTAGAACTTGGTGGCAACACGTTTTATTACCTAACATCACATTAACTCTTAACACTAACGGGATAACGACATAGGGTGGTAACCCACCGTTCCTATACTTAACTATATACACTTGGGGCGATGGCTATTTACACTCTGGATGGGACAACTACTAAATCGGACCAGGACAGCCAACACGCTGCCTGGTCCCCGTGCGCGATGCCCGGAGACCGAAGAGCACGACCACGAAGATTTCTTCCCAGCCAGCACCAACCCTGGCCTCCCAAGCGGCTCGACTTGTATACCTGCGGCGAGGCCAGACCCTCCCCTTGGCCACGCCCATTTCCCAGATCCTTCGTGAGGGTTCAGGACCCACATCACGTGTTCCTCTCACCCTGATTACCACCTCATCCGGTCACGTGCCCTCTCGTGTTTACTCAGTCTCTCCCCTGGTATGCCCATCAGGCACCAGGGAGAGGCTCCGCACATACAGGACCACTCACTCGGTACTGTCGCTATACTATAGTGACATCATCAATGACACTACATCAGCACCATGGTGGTTAGATGTTAACTACCTCGCCTGGTATGCAGGAGGTCGTGGGTTTGATCCCCTATCCTGACACCTGTATATTTGGTCGCGTGGATTTTTCTCCGGGTCCTCTGGTTTTTTCCCTCCACATTTCGAATCAACGTCACGCGTTTAGAGTATTTGGCTGCTGTAAATGTCAGCATGATCAGCCACTTCGTTGAGCTATCATTTGTGGCCAGGTCGTTTCTAAAAAAGAGCTACATAGCTTCAGTGGGCCCTTACCTGGTAAAATAAAAAGTTTATGTTTCCGTTTATGGTGGATCTGGTGCTAATTTATATGTCGTTCCTTCTCCCACGTAATTACTAAAGTTTTCATGACAGTCCCAAATGTATTTATTCTTATCCCTCTGCCAATTTTTACGATCACAAGCAGCGAATTTATAATTTTCCCTCCGTGATTCTGAAAAGGATTATAATTTGGGATCACCAATAGATTTATTTTCTGACCCTACGTAAATCCCAAAAATTGTAATGATTGTGGATTTATATATTTTTTTTACAGGTACACTGTGATTCTTGTTTGGGATTGCCAATTTTTATATTTTGGCCCTGCATGATGCCAAAAAATGATTTCGGGGGGCTGTGATTAGATTTGTTTTGCCCTCTTAAAACAATTGTCATGATTCTGGTTCACAAATGTACGTATTTATTTGGCTCCTCCGTGATGATAAAATTGTGCTATGGGATCACCATTTGACATGTTATTTTACTCCTCAACGATTCCAAAAAAGTTATCGTGAATCAGGGTTGCACTTTTTTTGTGTGTCTGTTCGTTCACGATTGAAGAATGTGTTACAATTCAGGATGGAGGATTTAATCACATTTGATCTCCTGGCCGATTTTGCTACTCGCGTGATTCAGCGCTTGTAGTGTGTGAGTGCAGGAATCTGTTTCAAATGATTAATTGTTTACATGCTTCGTAGAATCCACAGTGGCGGCTCGTTTTCGGCAAGCCATTCTCACACTGAAACGTAAAGAAAAGTGGAAATAATCGCTTGCCCGAATGCAGGAATGGAGGCGAGTGCTGAGTGCGTACACGCCTTTGGACTTGGGGTTGTCGAAAAAGTCACGTGTTTGCGTTACCATTAACCGCGTGACAAAGACTGGTGAAAGAAAATCAAATGGTTACCGGATTTCCACGTTTAAATGTTTGAGCCAGTAAAGTGTTTTTTTTTTGCTTTAATAAGAAACCAAAGAAGCTGCCACGGCGGAGTAACGGTCAGCACACTGGACTGCAATCCAGAGGTCGCTGGTTCGATTTCATCTGCGGCTTTTGACTGAAATACCCCCTCCTCCCCCCACTCCCCCCATTGACCGCCTCCGCGTACCCAGCAGTATAAATGGGCACAACCCCGGTTAGTTGATCGGCAGGTCGCCGCACGTGGTGGGGTTAAGCGTGGGTATTCCCACCACTTCCAGGATGTAGTGACCAGCGTGGGAGATATGCCCCTTCAGCCAGCAGTGGCTTTGAGCAAGCAAATTGCAGGACTACACCTTTACCTTTTAACAGCAGTCGAAGTCAAAAACCGGCGGTGGATGCTGAAAACGTTTCGCGGTTAAACATAACATAGGTTATTTTTGGGTTGGATCGCGGAAAAAGAAATGTGTTGGTAAACCCACCACCACCCGACACGGCCAACTAGTAAGGGTTGTCACGTAAACAGAACCTGCCAATCGGTTACCAGTTCAGCACACCGGTGTGTTGGAGAGTAAACCCGCAACATTTACAAACCTTGCGTATTGACTGTCGGGTGGTGGTGGGTTTAACGACGCATTCATATCTTCGCGATCTAACCCAAAACAACCTTTGTTATGGGCAATATTGGTCGTGGAATTCCTACGTGTTAAACTTAGCGGTCACCGTTGAACAACCCTAGATTTGACCGTTCCATCAGCATGCCCCATCTCGGCTCTGCTAGTTTGCCATCTCATGCCAGCTGAGTCGTTGTGATGCCCGCAAGCGCAGTTCAAACGTCCATTGGACCGAGGAGATCATTTGCACGAGTGGAGAGCTTTGTTCCGCTCACCCGAGCGGCGTTCGCGTCTGCAAACGCTGTCGCGTGAGAGTGCACGGATTTCTTGCCGAAGTGTATGGTCGATGGTGATCATGGGTGACAGAGGGCACACTCGAAGATGAATGCCTCTATATATTTATCCGCAGATGTAAAGTTTTACGTAATAATTTGCAGGCCCTGCACTGATGGCTCGTTACGGGTGTGCGTGCACTTGGTTGTATTTCAGCAGCTTGCTCTGTGAATGCGTTATCATAATTTAATTGTGTGTTTGGCAAAGGCATAAATGAGCGAGGATTTAAAATTGTTGTCATGAATTCTGTGCCACTTTGAAGCATGCCATTGGGAAATTGACCACCACTGAATATGAATTAAACTACAATTATGCTGTGTCGATATTTAACTTGTTTGTAATTCTAATAAAAATATATAAATGAAATGAGCATATTGGGAGTGGTGTACGAGCACAAATAAAATGAATTATCTTTTACTGTTTAACAAACGAGTGTCGTTTAGGCTATTTGGCATTCCTCAGTGGAAAATAGAAAGATTGGATGACTAACAATGTTAACTTTGGTTTAACACGTAGGCTTTCGCGACCAACATTATGCGGTTAGATAGCGTAAATAAAAATGTGTCTTTAAACCTGCCAACACCCGACACAGCCTGTTAGTAAGGTTTGTCACGTAAACAACGCGTGCCAATTCGTTACTAGTTCAGCACACCGTTTGTGTGTTGGAGAGTAAACCCACAACCTTTACAATTTGAGTGACGGTAATTACAACCAGCCTCATCAGTTGATTGGAGTATTTGGGCTGCTGTAAATTTCCACGTGACAAGCCACTTCATTGAACTATCATTTGCAATAGCCAGGTAGCGAGCTGCCTAAAAGAGCTTCATCGCTGGTAAAATAAAAAAGAGTTTATTGCTTAGTTTGTATCCCATGTAAAGATGACTGCTAGCTGACATCTCTAGTTTAGTCACACGTGAAGCCATACATAACAGGGGTTACCAAAAAGATTTCCAAAATCTTAAACAAACACGATTCAGGTTCGATTCGACAGTACACAAAATCCGTGATTTGGTCCCATCTGTAAAGGATGTGATTCCGGATGTGCAATACCCGGGTGTCTACAAACTGAGTTCGCGAACACAAGGCAGATCTGAAACACGGTAGAACCAATACCTCTGCCGTTGCTGATCATTGTTTTAACGCAGTGGGCTCACACGAAATTGACTTTTCCAAGACGGAGGTACTCTGCAAACCCACCGGCTATTATCGGAGATTTGTTCATGAAGCCATCCAGATATATAAACACAGACACAACTTCAACCGAGAAAATGGGTACAAATTGGAAGGACGTTCATCTTGGTTCTTTCGGTAAAGTCACGTGGAAGGGAAATAATAAAATAATAAAAATTAAGCATGATAAAACAATTCTCACGACGTTTCGGCCACAACGCAAGCAGCCGTCCGGTGAAAACCAGGTCTGTCGAGGCGACAGCGTCTGGCAGACAGACCTGGTTTTCACCTGAGGATGGCTGCTTGCGTTGTGGCCGAAACGTCGTGAGAATTGTTTTATGTTTTAATTTTATTTATTTTATTACTTTCCTTCCACGTGACTTTACCGAAAGAACCAAGAAGATGAATCCCTGCAGTCACGAAAGCTTTAAATCGAAATGGAAGGACGTTATTAACCAAGTAAAGTCTTAACCGACTGTGATGTTTCCATCCTACCTGCCTATGTCAGCTGTTATTTCCAATTCCTTGTGTGTCTCTCTCCAACTCTCTCCGTGCCTCTCGGATCTCTCCCCCAGTGACTCAAGTGCTCCTGCAGGGTCCCACTTTCTGCCCTCTCCCCCCCCCCTTCTCTGTCCCCCTAACCACCGAGGCTTCTATAACCTCGTGCCACAGCAGCTCTCTCGCCTACTTCAACACTATACACTACACTATACTACTATACACTACACTACTATACACTACACTACTATACACTACACTATACACTACACACCTATACACTACACAACTATACACTACACTATACGCCTATACACTACACTACTATACACTACACTACTATACATTACACAACTATACACTACACTATACACTACTATACACTAAACAACTATACACTACACTATACACTACACACCCTTCTCTCCCCCCCCCCTACTGCTGAGACTTACACTATATAACCTCGTGCCACAGCAGCTCTTTCGCCTGCTTCAGCAGTTTGTTTCTTGCTGTGGTTGTCCCACCTGATGACGATTGCTTGTGTTGCGATCGAAACGTCGTGATCTATTAATTTTCTACCTACGTGACTTTACCGAAAGAACCGACGAGTATGGATTCCTGCAGTCACGAAAGCTTCAAATGAACACTTTACAAATCTTCAAATCTCGACTAAAAACGTGTCTTTAAAATGGCTTTCTCTCTTATTTTTAAAACGTCTTTCTCATTTCTTTCCTTGGTTGGTGTCAAACTATTTCCGCCAATTGTTTAAGGACGTTTAAAACATTTACATTATTATAAGTGAAAAGATGTGAAATGTTGTTCGCGTTATCCGAATTTCGGGATTGAGCACTTTTTATGGGGGGCACGCGTTTGCGTGCGTGGCTTTAGGTCGACTCGGCCTCAAACGAGTACCTAGTGAGATGTGTAAACATCGCCACTGGGGAGACAAAGGCGGCCGAGCGTGGTGCTGTCTTACCCATCACCTCGTGTGCCGTGCTGGTCCGCATTGGGGCTCGCTAACGCCGCTTGCCCTCAACGCTCTCTTAAGCCTATATGGGGGATCTTTGGATATTTTTAAGAAGCTTTCAACATATAAACCTCATGATCTCGCTTGAATTGTATCCCAATGTAACAAATGCTCCTCTAACCGCAAAAATCTCACTCTTTCCCCCCCCCTGCCCTCCCACCGAATTCAAGCCACCAAGGAATAATTGCGAATTAATTCTGAGAAGGTGGTAACAGCCCCACATCCTTGGGAGTTCGGTGTCCGAGTGAGAGAGTGAACATCCTTGTCTGTGTCGTTCACGCGTTGTCTATGGGGCTGTCTTGTCCGTGTCGTTCACGCGTTGTCTATGGGGCTATCTTGTCCGTGTCGTTCACGCGTGGTCTATGGGGCTGTCTTGTCTGTGTCGTTCACACGTTGTCTATGGGGCTGTCTTGTCTGTATCGTTCACGCGTTGTCTATGGGACTGTCTTGTCTGTGTCGTTCACGCGTTGTCTATGGGCCTGTCTTGTCTGTGTCGTTCACGCGTTGTCTATAGGTCTGTCTTGTCTGTGTCGTTCACGCGTTGTCTATAGGGCTGTCTTGTCCGTGTCGTTCACGCGTTGTCTATGGGACTGTCTATGTCCGTGTGTGGGCCAGGCACCGCGTCCTGCTCGTGTCGGGAAGAACGACGCCACCCACCCACCCACGGCCGCCCGGTCACAATTGATGTGGCTTAAAGATGGCACCGCGGGATTATTGCTACTCCCCAAGTAGCTTTTCTCTCACTCTCGCCATCCCTCCCCGCCGGACTGTTGACGTTTTCTGTCGGGTTCCCTCCCCGCGTGCATCTCTCCTCCCCCTCCTCCTGCTGCCATTCCCCTCCCGAGATGTCTCCCAGCATCTCTCTGTCTCTGTATCTCTTCCCTCCTCCGTATTTTTCTTCTCCTGCCCTCCTCCCCATCTCTCCCGACCTCCACCCACGCCCGCCTGCCTTTATCTCTCCCTACACCCCCTCCCCACCTCTACTCTCTCTCCCTTTCCATCCACTTATCTCCCCACCTCTTTCTCTCCCTCCCCACCCACTTATCTCCCCGCTTCATCCACTTATCTCCCCACCTCTCCCACCCCCTCCCCACCCACCTCTCCCACCCCTCCCCATCCATTTATCTCCCCACCTCTCTCCCTCCCTCTCTCGCTCCCACTCCACCCACTTATCTCCCCGCCTCTCTCCCAC